ATGTATTTCGACATAAGTTTTGGCTTAGTAAAAGTATTGTTGACGAAGTGTTAGGTTAAGATATGTTCTTGATGAGACTTGCGACGCGGACACGCTTTCGAGTGAGAGAAAAAAAAAGATAAATGTGTCACAGGAAAAATGAAGGCATAATGTAGCCTGGTAAAAAGTGAAAAAAAAAGGTTTTGTTGAGTCGCTGTGACACGTGCGAAAAAAAAATTGTAAATGAAAAGGTGTCACGTGAAGTCGTTGTGTTGGGGAAAGTCTAATCTGCTTCATCATGAACAACAAGTTTACTGAAGTCGTAGGCGGTGGCTGTACTAACATACAACGAGATTTTGTGAATATTGGTGATATGCGTGTTCAGTGGGAGATATGTCTTAAACTGGAGTTTGTGTGGCTCGAGATTGGCTTAGTGTAATAATGATTGCGGTGTTGTTGAGATGGCTATGGTTTATTGGAATAGATGTGTTGGTGTTTACTTGAGAGTGAGAGAAAAATATCGCTAAGTGGGAAGCGAGTGTAAATTTTACGCTTAAAATAAATTGGTAGAAGGGGCGTAGACCTAATTTAGATTTTTGGAGGAATTGACGGTCCTACACTATATTAAACTTTTGTTGGAGAAGGATAGATGGTTGACTAGTGATGATTTTGAAATTTTGTTAATTTATATTTGAAAATTGATTTTAAAAATAGATTATTGATAAGATAGCGAAAATCATCAATGGAATAAGGAAATGAGAAATAGCAAACCTTTTTTTTTTTTTTTGAGACGTTTACACGTAATGGTTTAAATGGATTAAAAAAGATTTTACGGAATTTGATCATAAAATGGGTGTAGGTAAGGGTGAAGGAGATGGAGGAAAATGTGAGGGTGAGATATTTTCAATTTATGTTTGAAATTCAAGAGTTTTCTTTTAAAGTGGGGCGTTGTTATAGTTATGTTAGTTGGTTTGTGAAATTGAATGTTTTTATAGAAGGAACAATATAAAAATGGCATTACACTGGGGGAGGTAAGTTGGTATTTATGAATGTAGTTGTGATAAGTACATGGGAAAGCATTCTAAGTGTTGACTATATATTGTATTTAATGGGTAGCAGGCGTACATTTTTAATATACCAAAAACTTACTTTTTTCTTTAAATGAGAATTTTGAGATATAAATGTTTTTTTATTTTAAAAATTACATTATTAGAAACCAATATGTAAAAAGGTGTATAAAGTAATGCGGTTGTGATTTAAGAATAATATTTTTTTAAATGTTAGAGATATAAAATTATTATTAAAATATATAATGTGATGTTTTCTTCTTTTTTTGTCATAAAAATTAAATCATAGTTTTTTCACGATGTGAAGGATTAATTTTAAATGAGCTGAATTAGTTAAATTACTATAGGTTAACTGGCATATAATGAAGCATTATAGGTAATTGATAGACTTAGAATTTTATGATGTGGATAAAATTATGTTTTTGAAATTTAGATAAAATATGACCCAAGAAAAAAATAAAATTTGCATAAATGAAATAGAGCATAGATGTCAATTGGTAAGGGCTAAAATTTAAATGAAATAATTGTAATAAAAATATACTTGAAATTCGAATACTGTTAAAAACAGGTTTAAAATAAGTTGTACTCACTGTACAAAAATTTTCTTTGGAGTGTAGTCCAAAAGTTCACACTGGTTGATGTAGCCATGGTCATGTCCTTGGTAATGATTGGAGAAGGCGTGAAGGAGGAGTAGTTCTCGTCGTCGGGTGGATTGAGGATGTTTGCAGTGAGCACATTGGATTTGTAATGGCGAGTAGAATGCAAGTTTTGTGGCAATTGAAGATTTGCTATCTACCTAAGGCTTGGAAGCGGCGATGTCTTGGATGGTTTCCGCGAGTTGTGCCACGATGTCCGTGGCTGTGGGTGGCATTGTGGTGATCTTCGGTGTCGCTCTGCTCTCCAGGCTCCATCCTCTTTGCGCTGTCCTCGGTAAATCCTGTCGACACTCTGTAGTAATGTAGTTTGTTGTTGCTGTGGGGGATAAATACAGTGTGGCATGTTGGTTGCAGTCGTGATGGCCACAATGATTATAGTGGGTTCAGGCGTGATTGGGATTGCACAAAAGGACGAGGCATGTTGAATGTCCCCACAGAGATGGCGAGAGAGTGAGTGTAGCCGACGCCGGTCAGGAGAGAACTGTGTAGAGGGGTCTGTCAATCGTGTCTCAAAGTGGACTAATCTGTTTGAGTAAGAAAGGGGCACACCTGGGAACCCGACTTGTTTTTCGGACCTTTTCATCCTACTGGCGCCGACTGTCACTCACTCAAAATTTTATTTGTCACTTTGACAATTACATTACATCTATACAACACATGGAGACATAGATATATATTGGAATATATTACAACATATATATATATATTGGTGCACCATTTTTAATGGGCAGAAACAAGATTTTCACGAACAAGCATTCACTCGAGCAGCATACGTAAATAAAAAGGTTCAAAGGGCTCCATTGCTCTTTTCGATTAAAACTTCTAATAAAAAAAGCATAAATTCAAAAGTAGGTACACACCTACTGTAGAATGTGTATATATGAAGTTTAAGTTCAAAATATAGTCTATGCAAAGCCTATTCAAATTGAACCAAAAACTAATTTACAAATTTTGTTATATAAAAAGAATGGCTAGATCTGGAAAAAGAATTTGAAAATATCGGGCTACCTTGCTTATTTTGGGATAAGAAAATATAATCCTAAAATATTTTTATATTATACTAGACGAATAACCCGGCTTCGCCCGAGAATTCCCCCGAGTGAAATTTCCTTCCTTCTGAAAGTACACCAATAATAAATAGTAGAAGTGCCATAGAATAGTAATACAGAAGTAACACATGAACCACAGGCAAAAAGTGTGTGTGATGGCAAAAATTGTATTATATTAGTGTTTAGTTATTTGATTTAATTATTTTTTGCAATCCATTTAGTTGTTTTAAAATCAATATAGTTTGAATAGATGGCAGCTTTTCCACCTAACCCCCGAGGTATCCGCCCCAGCACATTAACCCTTGAAATTGCCTGAGTTGAGTGAGTGACTGCGATGGTTCTTGACTGCGATGCCCAGCTTTTCAGTAAGAATAAGAAAAAAATAAGTTTATAAAAAAAATTCATTCAAAATACTGGCATGTAAATATTTTTCTGTAAAAAATAAAAGAGCACATGGAAATTAGGCAAACATATGTGTTTGCTAATGACTGCGGCTGCTTTTTAAACGATTTTTTTAAAAAGATAAAAAAAAGGCCAGAACAAAAATTAATAAAAAATACGAAAGCCATTGTTTACATACAGTAACGCTAATTTTGTAAAGTTTTTTTTAATTGCATTGTGTGCACTTACCGTAACTTAGTAATATAAATTTCTCTCTCAATACTTTTGTAAAAAAAAAGTGACACAAGTATAAAAATATATTTTAAAAAAAGTACCCAAGCAACTTGAAAAGAAATGCAGAACGCTCATTGGTCACTTAATTGGCCTCGTGTTGTTACTTCGCCTCGTATTTACTCCGCGGAAAAAAAAGTTCTTCAAATGAAAAAAAGAAATAGCCAAAAATACTAATCAAAATGCAGCCGAAAATTTTCCTCAGGTTTATAAAAAGCGACATGCAAAATTTGGTACCAATTGGTTCAGTAGTTTTTGAGTTTATCGCGAAACAGACAGACATTGACTTTTATATATAGAGAGATTTGTTAATAATGCATTCTCTCTTGTGTGTGTACTAGAACATTAGCCCCTTCTACGAACAGGTCTAAAAACTATATCCAGTTCTAAGCCTTATCAAATTTTTGCATTATAAAAAGCTAAAAAAAGGGGTATATAATGTGAGAGCTTATATTTCACTAATATATTTGTAACTCTCCCTAATATAAATTATTGTTAAAAAATATATTATACAATATAATATAATGCGGCTTGTGATTGTAAAACGACATTTGAAAATTATCCCGCATGTGTTTCTTTTCAACGAAAAATCAAAATTTATTTTAAGGGGAGAAATAACGATTATTCCTAACCTTATAGATGAGGTATGAAAGGATGAATTGTGAAGAGTAATGATAAACGGAAAAATAAAAGTGTCCAGGGATGGGAATCGAACCCACAGTGTTCCGCTTACCGGGCAGATGCCATGTCCACTAGGCTACCCTTGACATATTTTTCCGTTCGTAAATAATACATAAAGTAATTTATAATACAATATAATATAATGCGGCTTGTGATTGTAACACGACATTTGAAAATTATCCCGCATGTGTTTCTTTTCAACGAAAAGTAAAAATTTATTGTAAGGAGAAATAACGATTATTTCTAACCTTATGGATGAGGTATGAAAGGATGAATTGTGAAGAGTGTTGATAAACGGAAAAATAAAAGTGTCCAGGGATAGGAATCGAACCCACAGTGTTCCGCTTACCAGGCAGATGCGATGTTCACTAGGAAACCCTAGACATATTTTTCCGTTCGTAAATAATAAATAAAGTATAATAAATATAATATAATGCGGCTTTTGATTGTAAACCACATTTGAAAATTATCCCGCATGTGTTTCTTTTCAACGAAAAGTAAAAATTTATTTAAAGGAGAAATAACGATTATTTCTAACCTTATGGATGAGGTATGAAAGGATTAATTGTGAAGAGTAATGATAAACGGAAAAATAAAAGTGTCCAGGGATGGGAAACGAACCCACAGTGTTCCGCTTAACGGGCAGATGCCATGTTCACTAGGCTACCCTGGACATATTTTTCTGTCCGTAAATAATAAATAAAGTAATTTATAATACAATATAATATAATGCGGCTTTTGATTGTAAAACGACATTTGAAAATTATCCCGCATGTGTTTCTTTTCAACGAAAAGTAAAACTTTATTGTAAGGAGAAATAACGATTATTTCTAACCTTATAGATGAGGTATGAAAGGATGAATTGTGAAGAGTAATGATAAACGGAAAAATAAAAGTGTCCAGGGAGGGACCTGGGAATCGAACCCACAGTGTTCCGCTTACCGGGCAGATGCCATGTCCACTAGGCTACCCTGGACATATTTTTCCGTTCGTAAATAATACATAAAGTAATTTATAATACAATATAATATAATGCGGCTTGTGATTGTAAAACGACATTTGAAAATTATCCGGCATGTGTTTCTTTTCAACGAAAAATCAAAATTTATTTTAAGGAGAAATAACGATTATTTCTAACCTTATGGATGAGGTATGAAAGGATGAATTGTGAAGAGTAATGATAAACGGAAAAATAAAAGTGTCCAGGGATGCCGCATTATATTATATTGTATTATAAATTACTTTATTTATTATTTACGAACAGAAAAATATGTCCAGAGTAGCCTAGTGGGCATGGCATCTGCCCTGTAAGCGGAACACTGTGGGTTCGATTCCCATCCCTGGACAGTTAGAAAAAATCGTTATTTCTCCTTAAAATATTTTTTTTTTCGATGAAAAGAAATACATGCGGGATAATTTTCAAATGTCGTTTTACAACAAGCATGTCAAACTCGCGGCCCGCGGGCCTCATGCGGCCCACAACGAATAAATTTGCGGCCCACCAGACAATATATTTTAATTAAAAATATATGTATAAATTTAAAAAAAAAATCATAAAAAATTTGTAGCCTAATTTTTAAAAATTGTAATTATACATTATTTATTTATTAATAACGAACCACTGGTCGCCATACATAAGTCGTAAGTTTTGATAATATTATACCTACATACATAACGTATGTACATCGCCATAAGTATTGTGTGCCTTAAAGTTTAAAGAAAATATTCTTTCGGAGTACTAGAAAAAAAAAAATTAAGTTACGTTCAATAATTTGTGCAGTTATTCTGTGTCTGGGGTAAGTTAAAAAATATTAATTAAAATATAAATTAAAACGTTTTATTATTTTGTGTTAGCGATTACTAATTTTTTTCAGACCTTTGTATTCAATATGTCTTCATCCGGGTAGTTGGCGACTTCTGTACGCTCCAGGAACCTGGGTTACTTAAATAAATGTCTTCATCAAAACCAAGTGGCAGTAAAACTAATCGAAAAATTGCTGACGAACATAGGAATTTTCAAGAAAAGTGGGAATTAGAGTATTTTTGCTCTGAAGTAAAAGATAAAATAATCTGCTTGATATGTAATAATGCTATTAGTGTACCAAAATTATATAACATTAAACGTCATTATGAACAACATAAATCAAAATATGATACCTACGAAGGTTTAATGAGACAAGAAAAGTTAAAAGAGTTCAAGTTGGGAATGAAAAAACAACAGTTTATGTTTACTAAAGTATCACAAGAGAGTGAAGCGGCGGTGCACATGCAAGCTACGTTTTATCGGAGATGATAACTAAACACTCAAAACCTTTTACTGAAGGTGATTTCATCAAGGAATGTTTAATTAAAGCTGCAGAAATTGTTTGTCCTGGAAGTGTGAAGACGTTTCAAGCAATATCTTTGTCTCGAAGTACCGTTGTGGAAAGAGTTACTGATATGGCCAGAAATTTAAATGATCAGATAAAAGAAAAATCATCTTGTTTCGAAGCATTTTCCATTGCCTGTGATGAGAGTACGGACATTGGGGGCGTAGCTCAGTTAGCTGTTTTTTTTTTTTCGAACTTGCGGCACGGATTTCAACATTTTTGAGGAATTATTGGAACTAGTACCGATGCATGACACTACTATAAGAGAAGATATATTTAATTGCGTTTATGATCTTCTGCAAAAATACAATTTACCTCAATCAAAATTGACTTCTGTAGCAACAGATGGAGCTCCTTCAATGACTGGTAAAACCAACGGTTTCGTAGCATTACTGCGAAAAAAAACTAAGTGAAATTTCTGATGGTTCCAATATTCATCATACGCATTGCATTATACATCAGGAAGTATTATGTACGAAGGTAATAAAAATGGAAAATGTGTTGACACCTATCAAAAAATTCATCAATTTCATAAGATCTCGAGGTTTAAATCAGCGACAGTTCTCTCTGTTCTTAACTGAATTAGAAAGCGAATATTCAGGTTTATCATACTATACCGAGGTACGTTGGCTATCATGCTCCAAGGTTCTCAAACAATTTTGGGACTTGAAAGAAGAAATATGTCAGTTTTTAATATCCAAGAATCAAGACATCACTTTGTTTTCTGATCAAGTATGGTTGCAAGATTTTTCCTTCATGGTTGACATAACAAAACACTTGTCGGATTTAAATTTGAAACTGCAAGGAAAGGATCAGATCATTACCAACATGTGTGACCAAGTTAATGCATTCAAATGTAAGCTAGTTCTTTGGGAAAAGCAGTTGAAAAACGAAGATTCAATGCACTTTCCGACATGCAATATGTACAAATCAAGTTTAGGTGAAACTGCATCGTATCAAAAATATGCGGGAAAAATTTTAAGTCTTAGAAATGAATTTGAAACAAGGTTTTCTGATTTCAAATCTTTGGAAGGCAAGTTTACTTTGTTTTCTTCGATTTTCTCGATAAATATAGAATCAGTACCTAATCATATGCAAATGGTGGTAATAGATATCCAGTGCGATTCAGATTTAAAGGTAAAATTCATTGAAGTTGGCGTTTCTGAATTTTACAAATATTTGCCAGCCAGATTTGAAAACACTCGAAAATTAGCATATGAAATTATGTCCATGTTTGAAAGTACTTATCGGTGCGAGCAGTTATTTTCACTTATGAAAGGAAATAAGTCTCCAATCAGATCGAGAATTACTGACGTTCACCTTGGGTCAGTTTTAAAATTAATCACTGCGAACAAGATTTCCCCCGAAGTAGGAAAGATGGTAGCAGAAAAGAGATGCCAAATATCAGGGAGAAAATATTAACTTTACTTTCTTTTTTCTTATTAGTATTTTTTAAAATAAACCTACATAAATGTTACTATAAAAAATTAATTACTTGTTTTCTTTTTTTGCGGCCCACATAATCTTATTACTTTTTTATTTGGCCCGTGTTAGGATTTGAGTTTGACATGCTTGTTTTACAATCACAAGCCGCATTATATTATATTGTATTATAAATTACTTTATGTATTATTTACGAACGGAAAAATATCTCCAGGGTAGCCTAGTGGACATGGAATCTGCCCGGTAAGCGGAACACTGTGGGTTCGATTCCCATCCCTGGACACTTTTATTTTTCCGTTTATCATTACTCTTCACAATTCATCCTTTCATACCTCATCCATAAGGTTAGAAATAATTGTTATTTCTCCTTAAAATAAATTTTGATTTTTCGTTGAAATGAAACACATGCGGGATAATTTTCAAATGTCGTTTTACAAAAAAAAATATTTATCGCGCGATAGAATGTTTCACATATTTAATTTTTTTATCTATTCTCTCTCCCAATATACAAGTATATCATTACATCTGCCACCCTATATCATCTTTAATTCCTATAAATAGCTTTATATAAATTTGACTATTTTAGAATTCTTTATAAGCTTTTATTTAGCTGCTTCCATGTCTGTCTACAAATCTTGTAATCATTTATTAATACACTTACAGAAGATTTAGAAGTCCGATATTTAGTACACTTGTTTAAACATCAATGCAATGCAAGTTGACAAAATATCACACTTCTGGGTGATCGGGGCGGCCTCGGCAATTGGCTAATTTTAATTTCTATATTTACTTTCAAATTTTATGATCAATTTTTAATATAGTTCCAGAACACAGAAGTCTGAAAATTTGTAGAATCTCTAAATACAGCTAACAATACAAGTTCACAAAATTTCTGACATTTGGGTGGTCAGTAATGATTTTTTTTTTCATATTTCCCTATAAATGCTGTAATCAATTTTTAATATACTTCCTGACCACGTAGAAGTCCTGTATATATATATATATATATATATATATATATATCCCTATATATAGTCACGACCGTCATGGGCGGTGTTGGATCCTATAGTTAATAATTTCCTTAAATTCAATTTTATATATGAAAATTAAGCCAAAATCTTCTAAATTCAATTGTACAATATAAATCTTTAATATGTAAATTTTAAAGCAATCAACATGTATGCAAATTTATAGTTTGGTTAATTAATAGTTTTTCTTTTCTCTCTCTCTCTATCACTAGTATCAAAATCTAAGTCAATTTCATGTATTCTAAAATCATGTGGTAGCTACTCCTAACTCTAAAACCCAAAGACAATAAAATAATTCAAGACAAGTGGCAAAGTGCTTCTTAGTATCTTTTACTGAACATTCAAGCCACGAACATTATGGTCCCTCATCGAGCCGGATACTTTAAAAAATTAAGGTAAGCCATTTGAAAACTTAAAATTCTTAAAATAAAGTCATGCCCAAATCTGAAGTTAAAATTCGGCACAAATTCAACTTTATTATTCAGGAAATAAAGGATCTGGAATCAGAGAATAAAGCTATTGTAGAATCCAAAAACATACATAGATTAAAGCTATTCCAACAAGAAGTTAATGAAAGGAAAATTAGCCTAAATCAAGTTATCAACACATTATTAGAATCAGAGTTAGATGATACACAATATGACGATTATTCAAAGGCCAAAAAGGATATTTTTAATATGTTGGTGTCTATTGAAGAAGCTTTATCTTTGATTGAAACCAAAGAAAATACTCATAGTGATAAACAACTGCCCGAATCCAATGTTAATTTACCTAAGATAAATTTACCCATTTTCAATGGTGATTCAGCCAATTGGCTTAGTTTTAGAGAAATATTTAACTCCACCATTAATTCAAATCAAACACTAACTGAAATACAAAAATTTCAATATCTAAATTCATCTGTTAAGGGTCCTGCGGAAAAGTTGATTCGGGGTTTTCCCATTTCTGACAAAAAGTACCAGCAAGCATGGGATACCTTATGCAATAGATTTAATAACAGAAGAGAATTGGCTTTTTCACAAATCAACAAAATATTCTCCATAAGGCCATTAAAATCTATTTCGGCTGGTTCTCTCTATGAAATTCTTGATGTTTGCAATGAAGGCATTAGAAATCTCTCAGTGCTAGGACTTGAGA